TCCCGGCCACAGGCCATGAGCTTGTGCCCACCCAGATGCTGCCAAGAGCCCAGGCGCGGACGTGGCCATGAAGGAGCTCTGTGCTACCGAGACCTTGCATCCAGACGGGGCTCTTTCCTGGACGGAGCTCTGGGTACTTTCACGGGAATCCATCCCCCAAGGGACACAGTTTCCTCTTCCCATTTCACAGAAGAGGGCACTGAGGCCCAGAGAGGGAAAGCCTAGAGAATGGTGAGCCTAGGACCATACAAGGAGTGAGGGGGAAGCCAGGGCAGGTCCCCTCCTTCTCAGCCAGAGATCTACTCCCCCAAAACTGCCTTTCCCCAGGTGTCCCACCACCCCCACCTCCAGCCCAGAATCTGCTGGCCCAAGCCTGGGGTTAGCCAGGGACAGGTCTGTGAGGCAGAATTGAGCTCAGCAGACAGGGGCCTGAGCTCCACCACTTGGAGCTGGGAAAACGCCCTCGGATGTGGGGCTCAGTTCCACTGATCTTGGAACCGGGTTGGGAGAGGCTGGGCTTGTAAGGGTGACGGGCTCCCAGCACTCCACAGGTTTCGTGTCCCGCCTTGCTGTCCCAAAGGAGGAGTCATTGTCTAACTCTTACTAAACATCCATGCAAGTGCTCCCGAAGGCCTCACATCTCTTCCACACTCACCACTGCCTGCAGTCACTCCTTCCCAGGAGGTAGATAATCTCATCTCTTCCCTCCACGTGAGGAAACTGGCAGACTCTGGCCTTTATATGGACACCCACTCACTGTGCCTACTCTAGGGCTGCTTGACACAGTCCTTGGTTCCGGTGACTCTTCCTTCTTCCCCATTCTAAAACTTCCCTTAGGGGCCATCCCTTTCCCAAGCTCCTAGAGTCACAGAAAGGGCTGAAAAGACAGGTCAGGCTCCCAGCAGGGGCTATGGAGCTCTCAAGGGCTAAGTCGTCCTCTCTTCCCTCTCCGGGCGTGCTCAGGCCCTCCCAGACCCAAGGCGAAGTTTGCTCTGACCAGGCAACCTGGTGGCCGCCAGCTTGAGGCAAAGATCGTGGTGAGGATCAAACATTAACTTGAAGTTGGCCTGAGAGCCGCGGGCCGCGCAGGTAGGGCCCTCCGTCTGCATTCTCTTCTGGGTCCGGCTCTCCCTTCCAACCCTCCACCCTCCGGGCCCAGGCCTGCCGCCAGTCCTCCTTCCCTCCCCGCCCCGAGGGCCCCCGGAGGGCACAGTGGCTGCCCGGCACCTGTTCGGGCCCCGCCCGCTGGGGTCCCACCCTGCGGCCAAGTTAAGGGAAAGTTGCAAGTAGAACCGCTCCTGGCGCCCGCAGGCTGTGAGGTTGTGGGATCTGCGGTCCCTTGCTGCCTTACCCTAGATCCGCTCCCCGGGTGAGGGATGGAGGCGGCTCAGCACCCTATATCAGCTCAAGTTTCTTTGCCCCTTCTCGGGCACCCAGGATTTTGCAATCCCCCCCCTCCTCCCCGCGCCGTTCCCCCTTCTCCCCCGCCCCGCTGTCGCCACCACTCCCCGGACTTTGCCTTGAGTCCCTGGACTCCGAAAGTCCTTTTCAGGTCCCGGTCTCTTCGCTCGCTTTCCCGGGCCCTGCGCACGCCACCCAGGACCCCTGAACCCCGCTGGTCCAGAGAGGCGTGCATAAGCCTCGTCTCTGAGGCCCGCGCGATCCTGCCCAGCGCCCTGGACCAGGCACACGCCCACCCCGGGGGTTCGCAGCAGCCCCCAAGGAGCGCTGCGTCCTGCGCCAGCCGCGCCTCCCTCGGGCCCCGGCGTCCCGCACGCGCCTCCCGGGCGTCTGGCCAGCACGCGCCCCCGGGACTCCCGGCTCGCACGCGCCGCGCCTCCTGGGGGCGGGGGCCGTGGCCCAAACTCTGCGGCCTCACCGTGTTCTTCCTGGCCACCATCTTCTCCAGCTTTCTGGCGATCCTCAGCAGCTCCTCTTCCTGGCCCATGCTGGCGCGCGACGCCTGCCGGAGCGAGGGGCGCGGGGGCTGCGGGAGGCGCGAAGGCGGAGGGCGCGCGACCGCTCGGGCCCCAAACCCACACGACGCACACGCCTGCGGGGGCGGGGCTCTCCCCCCACACCCCCTCGGCGCGCCCGCTCGCAGCCGCAGGGGGGGAGGGGTGACGTGCACTAAATATAGACTTCAAGGACTTGCCCGGGCAAAGTTTGCAGGCGCCGGCGGGTTTGGCCTCTCGAGAGGGACGAGGCCGCGCGAGAGAGGGCCCTGCGCCTCGGCCCTTCTGCCGAAGCGAGGTTTGGCAATTGGGGAGGCCGTGGTCCCCGGACGCAAGGGGCTGTCTGGGCAAGCAGGGCGCCTGAGGGTGCCCCAGCGCTCTGGGAGGAGTCCTGGCTCCAGCGACTCTGCACGGTCGCAGCTCCAAGCGGGCGGACCTAGCTCCGTGCCTGGGCCCAAGTGCAGGCTGCTTGCAGCGCTCGGCTCATATTTCGTGCGCGGCCGTGAAATCCAACTCTGCTTTACCGGGGCCCGCTCATTCGTGCACACAGCCTGTGTACACGCGTGCACCCAGGCCCTCTGGTTCCATCGATTTTGTTGGCTGCAGTGAGATGCGTTTCTTACAAGCTCCCCCGAGTGCAGCAGGCAGGGCTGTGCCAAGGACTGCTCTCTGTGTAGTGACGACTTGGGAGATTCTTAGGTGCGCCAAACTTTGAGAAATGCTGATCCGGGTGGATGGGTGCCCCTAATTTATTCAGGGCCAGGCCACCTGCCTCCACAGTGGGATCGGGTCTGGAGGGGGGATCTTGGATGAAAGGAGTAAAGAGAATTGTGTCCTCACAGCTGCGCACCCATCTGTGTTCCCATGGAAGGACCTTCCTTCCAAGTGTCTCCAGCACACCCAGGAAGAGTCCTAAACTGGTGAGTGTAATTAACACAACATTATCTTTTTGCTGGAAGAGGTGCTTAGGGACTTGGAGGGGAAGCATGAAAAGTGGTCAGTGGTGTATGCAGAGGGGGGACACAGTGGCTTGGGGTGTTCGGTATTAGAGAACTCCATCCCAGCCTGGGTGACGGCTCATCTGGCTTCTAACTGCTGCTGAGTGAGTGACCTGGGACTATGGTAGGAAGGAGTGAGTTTATCTTCATTCAACAAATGCATTTTGAGTGTCCAGGACTAGTCCCAGCAAACTTGAGATACAGTCTATGGGCAAGAGAAAACCTAAGGGAATTTGGATGCAGTCAAATATATTATCACAAGTGGGGTGAGGGTCAGGAAGAAGTAAGGATACTTTAAGGACACATTTGAGAGGACCCGCACCAGTGGAGGTTTCATCTACCCTGAAGAAAGGAAGTTTCATCTTTGGGGCAGAAGTGCGGGGTGGGAGTTGGGGGTGGGAAGGGACTATTCACATAAGGGAGGAAGAAACATTCATTCATTCATTCAACATGTATTGAACACCTACTATGTGCCAGACAGTTCTAGCCCTGGGCATCCAGAGAGGAACAAAACAGTCTTCCCGGAGCTCTGAACATGCAAAGCTTAGGGATGGGAGTGGGCTTGGTGTGTCAGGGTTGGAAGAACTGAAATATTGGTGGAGCTATAGCTTAGAGGTTGGTTTTGGGGGAAGACAGGGCAGAAAGCCAGAGGTGAGTGCGGTCTGACCACACCAGCATTATGGGCCACTTTTAGGAGGTTAGACTTTTGGGATGTGCGGAGGTCTCTTGGTCAACTCCCAAGCAACCTCTGGGTTGTAGGGACAGCTGTCTGTAGTTACTTAGGGTTGCCTTTTTTTTTTTTTTTAAGATTTTATTTTCAAGTAAACTCCACATCCAATGTGGGGCTCAAACTTACAACCCCGAGATCAAGAGTCACACACTCCACTAACTGAGCCAGCCAGGTGCCCCAGGATTGCCTTGAAAAAAGAAAAAAAGCAGAGCTGATCCTCCTCAAGGTTCCACAGAGTTCCCACAGTGAGTTGTAGGACAGAAGCCAAGACACCTACATCACTGGGGCTCAAAGGACCCTAAGAAAACATCAAGTACAACCTCTTCATTGTACAGATGGGAAGACTGAGGCTTAGAACAGCCCAGGGTTGCATGGCTTAACCGTATCAGACACTGTTGGTACCCGCCGTATTCCCTCTACCTGCCCTCGCTTGGAGGTCACAGCAGGCTGTTCCTGGACGCACCTCCGCCCACATCTCGGGATAAGGGCTTCAGAGTAGGCTGAGGTGCTTGGAAATGGACACTCCCAGGCAGGACCCCTCAGCCAACGAAAGACAACAAAAGACGTGGTGGCAAACACACCAATTTTTTCACTTTCAGTGGGACAACTCAGAGATTTGTTCTTTTTTATTCTTTTTTAAACCAATTTCTGTGCCCAACATGGGGCTCGAACTCATGACCCTGAGATCAATAGTCGCATCCTCTACTGACTGAGCCAGCCAGGTGCCCCGAAGACATGTTCTAATCAATAGTCTCTCAAAGGTTCTAAAGATAAGCCCTAGTTCACAGTAGCCTCTCATTAACACACCCTCTATTACTTTTTGACCCAGTAGTCCTCTTTACATTTCCTGGGATCACCTTGTAAACTATAAACTCCTTGCTCCCAGATCTTTGTCTCAGGGGACCGCAAACTGAGACAAGGACTGTGGTCAACCTAAACCTGAGACAAGGACTGTGGACTGTGCTGGCTCCCTGGCCAGCACACTTCCTCTGCACCGGGGTTTTTAACCCACGTACCGTCAACATTCTGGGTAGGATGATCCATTGTTTTGGGGGCTGAGCTGTGAACTGGAGGGTGATCACCAGGATCTCTGGCCTTTAGCCACTAGATGCTAGTAGTACCTTCCAGTTGGCAACAGTCAAAAAAGGTCTCTGTGTTGCCAAACATCCCCCTGGGGGCAAAACCACCCCTGGGTGCAAACCCCTGTTCACGCTGCGGTCTTCCTTAGTAGGTCCAGAGAAAGAATTCTAGGCCCTAGGATTCCCACCCCTTCCCTACTGTTCTTCAGATCCCACAAATGAAGCCACTGAATTTAATGCAAAAAAAAAAAAAAATCTTTTATTAGAGATGAGTGAGATAACAAGTCTGAGATGAACAAAACCAGACGCTGGAGACCCAGAAGACAACCCCATTGGGATCTGTGGGATCCCAGACCAGGCTGGTCTCCAGAATACACAGCCCCGCCTCCCAGGCCAGATTTCTTCATTGGCCATTGGCACTCTCTGGCCTCTCCTGTTTGGCCTGACCCATCCCTGCCAGGGCTCAGCGCCAGGTGCCTATAAAACCGTCTTAGAGACTGATGATGGCTTAGCTGTACCTGTTTTCTAATATGGGGCTGAAAGTCATGGTGGCACTTCTGGGACTGGGAAACAGAATTTGAGTCCCTGCCTTCCCATTCCTATTATTCTCCTTCCTCCTTTCTTAGCTCTTTCCTCCCCCAAGACTGGAAGGCTTCTGAGTTGAGCAAAGGAAAAGGAGAGAAGGGAAGATCAATCATCCCAGACCATTCCTTTCCTTCCTGTTACATCAAGGACAGTAGGCAAAGGGGGGCTACTCCGAGCCTGCTTCCTGGCTGAGGAATAGAGCAGAAGTCCCCAGGAGGGCTGCGCGGTTCCTCAAACGGAGTGCTAGTGCTTATTTACTTAACCGCCGGTATAGCACGAGCAGTGGCCAACCAGGATGGATGCGAGCTGCAGACAATGCAGCATCCCATCGGTGTAAGGCAGCTGATTGTCTGTCTGCCCCTGGGCCCGGGACCATCCCCTGGAATCTAGCCCTGCTGATTCCCAAACCCAGCCTTTGGGACCAGCGACCCAGCAAGGGACCACATCTGCAAGACCCTTGTCTTACTCCTGTGGCATCTGGACGTAGAGAAAAACTCAGTAAAGTACTAGACTAACGAACGTTCAAAAAGACAGCCCCTTGGCTGGCAGAAACCCTGGTCTGGATGATGAAGATGGGCTGGCCCTACTCTTATGGAGCCCCCAGACTGATGGAAGAAAGATATTCTGGTCTGATGAGAGACTGAGGGTTCTGCAGCTAACGGTAGCTCAGGAGTACTCAGACCCAGCTAATGAGCTCCCGGGGCGGGGACGGGATAGAGGGGAAGGAACTGCCATCAGCCCGAATATGGAAGGGCCCCGTATCCTTGGAGGGGGCACAGGCCCACGGCAGGGAGGAAGGCCAGCCACAGAGACACAAGGTACAGACAGAGCAAGACCTAAGGTAATGGAGAACTCAGTTCCCCGTTCTTGTGGGCTCAAGTCCTAGCACTGAACATTGGGGTCCCACATGGGTGCTAGTTCTGGCATGCAAGGACCAGCAAGGAGCTAGCTTTGCAAAAGCTGTGCAGAGTTTCCAGGAGAACCCCTCTCCTGGAGTCCTCTCCTTCAGTGAAGCCAACCTGGGGAGAGAAGAATGAAAATTGACATGTGCCAAGTACCTATGTTACATACCACCTCAGTTCCACCACCATCCTATCATGGATAGATGACATTATCCCCATTTCACAGACAACGAAACTGAGGCTTGAAGAAGCAAAGCCACTTTTCCAAGTCCTCCACGTCCTACAGTCCAAGCTCTTCTTATCGCACATGTGCCACCAACATGTATCCGCTAAATGCTGGGGGCGGATACCTGGTTGTGGACACAGATTGGGGTCTGGCACCTGACTTTGATGGACTGAGAATGACGATTCCTCAGAGAGGCCCAGCTCCTGCCCCTGCTGTCTCTGACTCCCAGCACAGCAACCACTGCCACCCCTGAGGGATCCCTAGGGGAACAGTGGTTTCGTGCTCAGCCCGACTGGCTCTGTCCTGTGCCCACTCCCAGGATCCCCAACTAACTATGGGTGACTGTGAGAGATGTCACGATTCAGCAGGGAGAGGCCGGATTCAGGGTGACAGCTCTTGCCTTGTCCCTGTCACACGCCTCTCTGCCTGGGAGTGGCCTGTCTGGGCGGATTCAGGAGACTCTCTATACAAGGACAGCTGGCAAGCCAAGGGCCGCTCTCCGGCCACCCTAATCCTGTCTCATCTGCAGGGAAGTGAGCCCCCAGCCTGGCTGACACAGGTCTGCTCATCTTCCCCGGGAGAGAAGCCCCAGCTTGGGCCTCCTCACCTCTGCCGTCCCTCAAGACCTGGGCTCTCCCCAGCTTCATGAGTCCTGGGCTGGAGGGGGAAGGGGGCACACCAGGGCAAGGGATTGGCCGAACTGTGGCCACCCAGCCTCCTATAGACTCTGGCCATGGGCAGAGGTCCCCATGACCCCACCCCACCCCCCTACTGTTGACCAACTCTGCCTCCCACATGTCCTGCCACCACCCCTCGAACCACAGTCCCAGAGCTCATACCAGCATGTTCCTTGTGGGCAGAGGCTGCCTGGCTGAGGGACAGTCTTCCAGGCTCCAGCCCCCCCCGCCGATACGAGCGAGTGCTCTCGGAGCTGGAAGGCAGGGAAAGGCCAAGGTGACCTCATGCCGAGAGCCTCTTAGAGCGGGGACAAAGAGCTCAGGTATCAGCTGGGGACTGAGACAAGCGGGGACAGTGTCCTTCAGGGTCCTGCCTTGGCCCATCGCAGGCTACAGAGGCCTGGAACTGGAGCTTTCCTGTGTCTGCTCTCCAGACTCAAAACCGAAAGCGTTGTGTACAGGGAAGGGAGGACTGGATTGTGGGTTGGCGATGGGACATGGCAGAGATCCCACCGAGAACCTCTAGAAGAAGCCACACGGCTGGGACTCAGCCTTTTCTACCCCATCTGCAGCAGTGGGAGTTCCAGGCTCCTTCCCAGCCCTTCAGGCTGGACTCAGGGCAGGTGTGTGAAAGGCGAAGGGTCCCCTCACCCCCCACTCGAAGGCTAGCGTATTGCGTTAGTTGTAGGCCTCGGAGCTGGGAGGTGTCCTAGTCTTTAGGCAGCCACCATTTACAAGTGGGGAGCTAGACGATGTACATAGGGGTCGGGAAAAACTTGCTCAGCGGCAGAGCTGGGCTCTTACCTGAACCTGACCGGGGGATACATCTCTGCAGGGGTGCTTCCAGATGTCAGGCTGGGTCGGGAGGGGCCCTCCTCAGAGCTGGGTGGGGTTTGGCTGGGACCCGCAGCATCCATGGGGTTTGTGAGGGTGGAAGAGGTGGAGGCTGGACGGCCCAGGCTCTCAGGGGCCCCACAAGGCTCCTGAGGGCTCAGGCTGGGGACTTCAGAACGATCTGGAATCAGAAGTGATAAAACCTGGGGCACCTGAGTGGCTCAAGGGGTTGGGCCACTGCCTTGCTCAGGTTGTGAACTCAGGGTCCTGGGATGGAGCCCTGCATCGGGCTCTCTGCTCAGCAGGGAGCCTGTTTCCTCCTGCCACGCTCCCTACTTGTGATCTCTCTCTCTGTCAAATAAATAAATAAAATCTTAAAAAAAAAAAGATTTATTTAAAAAAAAAGAAGTGATAAAACCTGTCTTTATGTCTTACTCTGTTCTCAATGTCAAAGCAGTCCTTGGCCTCTAGGGCCTATCATGGCTGCCCTCACTGCCACGCCCCCCCATCTGGTGTTCCCCTCCAGCTTCTCCCCACTCTGCTTGGGTCTCATGGGCTAGTGATGCACTGTTTTGCTTCTGCTCCCCTGGGTCCTTAGTCTGGACTCCTCTGCTCACCCCTCAGGCTCAGCTCAGGTGCCGACAGGACAGGACGCCCTCCTTAGCCACCCCTCAGTCCCAACAGGACATGCTCCCTCCCTCCCTGAGCTCCCAGAACAAGCTTCTTCATTCAGTCAACAAACAGTTCTTGAGGCCAGCCAGGTGCCGAAATACTAGTCCCAGAACACTCTAATCCCTGTCCTTTTGAGATTTACATCCTTCGTGGGGTGGGGGTGGGGATTTACATTCTGTACCATGGTGTCTGATATTGTAATGAATTACATTCTAGCTGTTATCTCCCCCACTAGACCGCGTCTTGGGCACCCAGTGGGTGGTCAGTACGTGCTTCTCTGCCTTTTTACTTAAGCACAGCATTGAGAAATCTGGAATAAGTCAGACCTGGGTTGGGATCCCACATCGGGGACTTAGCTGTGGGATCTTGGACACCTGACTTGGACACGTGACTTAACGTCTCTGTTCCTTTACCTGCAAGGGGGAGATGATAGCCTCTACCTGACAGGTGATTGTGAGGGCGGGAGGGGGGTGTGGACTACCGCACACAGCCTTAGCTCAGCGTGCCAGCACATGGCAGACCGTCCGTGAACGGTATGGGGAGCACTTTTCCGGGTGGCTGGCCATACCTCCGCTGGCATGTCCTGCACGCCCTTGGACCATGGTCCGAGAAGGGTTTTTGACCGGCAAGGGTGGGGGGCAGGCCTCACTCTGGCTCTGAGGGGCAGCTGATCCCAGGCTGGCGACGGTATCATAGGTTTTATTGCTGAGGTCGACCCTCCCGCTGGCCCAGCGGGCCTGGGCTGGGGGCTTCAGAGGAGAGCGCTGCAGAGGCAAAAGTATGGGAGAAAGGATGGTCTGGTTCCTCCAGTTCAGCCCTGGCCCTCCCCTGCCAGGCCCAATCGGGCTCCTTCCATGGGCTAACAAAGGCCTGAGAGACGGGGCCGGGACTCACCTTCTCTTCCTCGTCCTCCTCACTGTCAGAGCCAGGCTCAGGGGAGATTCCCCAGTTGTAGTCCACGTGCAGAGGGAAGGCGAGGGTCCCAGCCTGGGCCTGCTCCAGCTGCCAATAACAAAGCCCTGGCAGTTCAGAGGGTCAGGGGCTCGGCAGAGAGAAAGAAAGGGTAAGGGGCTTCCCCTCCTTTCCTAGACCTCACCAGCTCCTCACACTCCTTGTGCTGCTTCTTCCTGGCTATGTCCAGAGCTGTCTCTCCTGCCTCGTTCACTGTGAGGGGTAAAGCCAAGGGTCACGGTCAAGGTCAAATGCATTCTAGCTTAGAGGTTACGATGGGCCTCTGGAATCAGATTGTGTTTGAATCTTGGCTCTGCTACTTCCTGGCTGTGTGATCTTGGGCAAGTTACCTAGTGTCTCTGGGCTTTGATTTTCTCATCTATAAAATAAGTGTAATACGTGTAACCTCCTCACGAGGCTGTTGTGAGTACTAAAGGAGTTATTGTGCAGGTAAGTAGTGGCTATCATAATCACTATTATTTGTGTCCGGCTAGTATTTACTTGGTTAGGTACTTTCAGAAACATCATTTTATGTTCTTTGCAGGTCTGCTAGGTCAGTGGTATTATACCCACTTTACACACAAGGAAGCTGAGGTTCAAGAGATGAACGGACAAATCCCAAGGTCACAGAGGTGGTCAGAGGCAAGCCGGGATTAGAACCCCAGTCTGTCTGCAAAGTCTGTGCTTGTTACCCACACCCTCGGTCTGGGAAGAGGGCAGGAAGTTCCACACCAGGGGCAGGAAAGAATGGAAGTCTGCTGCGGGACGTGCTGGGAGCCCCACCTGCGCCGAGCGAAGCTCTCCCTTTCAGCAGCAGCTTGAGGCAGTCAGGTTGGTTGTAGAGAGCAGCCCAGTGCAGAGCGCTGTTCCCGTCAGCAGCCTTGGCATCCAGGTGACCTCTGTGGGGGGAGGACAGGGAGGCAGGAAGGGAACAGACAGGGGAAGGGGTCAAAGTCAGGGAGAAAAAGAGGGAGGGGGGAAGGATTGTGGAGAAAAGAATGGAACGGGACGGGGCTGGAGGAGGATGAGGAGGTGGGCAGATGGGCAGGGAGGCTCTCACCCATTCTGTATGATGAAGTCCACCAGGGGCAAGGAGGCAGGGCTGGCGACTCTGATGGCCAAGTGCAGGGCGAGCTCTCCAGGTGCCTGGGTACACGTCCACACCTCTGAGATTGCCCCAGTTCACCTGCCCCCAACCCAATATCACCCTTTTGAACTCCTGCTGCCCTCCCCCACTGACATCTCCAGATATAAAGCTGCCAGAACCCTGAGAGAGGAGACTGTGGAGAGGGAGTCTCGTGTTTGGGAGGAGAGACCCTTCCTCCATGCTTCCTTCCGTGGCTCTGCCTCCTCTTGCTCCCAGTAACACGTGCTTCCCAAATTCGGTTCTTAGTCCCGGCCTTGCTCTCTCTGCTCTTCTCTCTCGCTGGTCCCCCGAGAGCTCAGCTAACCTCAGTCTTTCAGCTCTCACTCATGTGCAGGCTGTTCCAAATTCCTACCTCATCTAAGTGCTGCACCCTCACTGCCCACTGGACAGTCCCACCAAGGTATCAGACAGTTCAAAGGCGACATCCATTTTTCATCTACAGTCAGCAACTCCTGCCAATTTAACCTTTCAGACGTCTCTGACAACCTTCCCCTCCCAACCCCCTGGCTCATGGGATATTTGCTACCAGAATCACCAATGCAACAGGCTTCCCTGACCTAATCTGACTCACCTTTACCCATGTCCAAGGTTAGTCCAGGAAAAAGAAAGATACTAACACTTCTTGCACACATATTATGCGCTTGGCCCTTTATACACATGCTTCATTCTCACTTCAACCCTGGGGTGCTATCATCCACTCATTTCACAGATGAGAAACGGAGGCTCAGAGAAGTGAAGTCACCTGTTCTAGATCACACAGCTAGGAAAACACAGAGCCAGGACTCTGGCCCAGGTCTGCCCCACGGAAGTGCTCTGTCCCATTTACCCCATTTACCCCTCCAACAGGTGGGCTTTGAACAGATGTTGGGGGTGGGGGGCAGAGGAGAGTGACAGCTGGTCCTGGAGAAGGACTGGGGAGTATGAGAGGGGGTGGGATATAAGTGGCCCTTGGAGGGGGTCCTCACCTGTCCCTCAGGCCCAGGTAGCAGCTGTCCAAAGTCGTGCCCATTAGCAAAGGCCTCCAGTACTGACAGGAGGTCCCGGTTGCAAATGGCCGTTCGGAGTCTCTGAGGCTCGGGTGTGGACCGGCGGGCAAACCTGTGTTCCACATACTTGGCCACGATGTAGTCCCTGCGCGTGCTCCTGCCGAAGTCAACCACAGTCTCAGAGCATGGGCCGTTTGCACTCCGCTGACCACTGGAACCATCCCAGAGGAGCTACGGATCTACCCCCCGCCCCCCCCAACCCCCGCCCCATGTCCTGGATCTTCCAGATCTGCGGCTCCCTTCTCCCTAGACTTCTGGCCCAAGATCCTCCTGAGACTACGGGAGCTGGAGAAGCAGAATCCCCAGCCAGGACGCAAGGCCCGACCCCCATCTGAGAATTCCCTTACATGTCACTCTCAGCTGAGGGTTTAGGGCCGCCTTGTGCGGGCAGCTGGACCTCCATAACCTCATTGAAGCGCGTGTTTCCGATGTTCAAGGCCAGCTGGGGTCGCAAAAAAGCGGTGGGGTAAGACCGGTGCTTAGGACAGCGCCCCTGGAGGACGGAACCTGCAGAGGCCCGACCCCGACCCTCCCCTTTCCGGATCTTCAGGAGCCTGCCCCACCTCGCCCCGCCCGACCCGAGCGCAAAACCCTGGGGCAGAGCCTGTCGGCCAACCCCCGCCCCCGGAGAAGCCACGCCCCAACCCCCTCTGGCCCCGCCCCGCCCTCACCAGCAGCTCGGAGGGGCCCAGCAGGTCCAAGGTGAGGGACTGCATGCGCGAGAAGCGCACGCCCAGCTCGCGGTGGACGCCCGAGCACTGGATGCAGGTGAGCACGCCCAGGTTGGTGCTGAGCCACGTGGGGTCTGCAAGGGAGAGCGGCTCGTGCCTGGAGGCGCCGGCCCTTCCCCTCCGCGGCCAGCTCCCTCCTCTCTCCCCGCCCCCGCTGGCCCACCTGCAGCCCCGCAGTCGCAGCACTGGCCGTTCCCGGGCCTGCTCTTCACCTCGGCGATGAGCAGCTTCGTGAGGTCCTGGGGCTCCCCGTCCAGCCCGGCGCCCCCCCAGGGTCCCGGGCCACCGCCACTGGGCTCCGCGAGGAAGGCACTGCTCAAGGCCTCATCCTTGCTGTTCTGTAACACTGACACCCACCTACGGAAAGGGTGCGACGGGGCATGGGAGTGATACCCGCAGGGGTGGGGTCACCTGGCTCCCCTGTCCCCGTCCCCAGGTTGTCTCCAGCTGGGAGGGGAGTGGGGAGAGACAGGGGAGGGGGGTGTGTAGAAAGGGGGGGTGGTGTCACTCACGCCTCACACTCATGTTCATCTTCTGCCTGGAAGTGGTATGTCCTGTTGTCTGTGGGGAGAGGGGGTATGTCTGGCCCACAGAAATCCAAGGAGCCCTCACCCAGCCCGTGGGGTCCAGGTGGAGCTTTGTCCCTAGTGTCAGAAACACTGACCCAAGGCTCACACCTAATTCCCCTGTATCAGAAAACAGAGTCCTGGACCAGGTCCCCGGCCCCACCCATCTGACCTCCAGCCACACCTCTTCATCTCCTGACTCCTACACCCCTCACTTTCTGGGGTTCCCTTCCAGACTCTGCCTAGCTGGGAGCTGGGGGGCGGATAACCATGGGCAGGATAGTGGCTGGCAGCATGGGCTGTTTCTCAGAAGTCACCTCTAAAGGAGGATCCTACCAAGGCCCTCCTGTTCCAGGACCACGCTCAGAGACAGGGTATCCTCCAAATCTACTGCCACCACCCCACGTGGGCCCTCAGCCTCCTGTCTGGTCTCCCTGCTCCCCAACTCCCCCTTCCCCCACCTGTACCATCCGCCAGACTGTTGTGCCCAAGGTTCTGATCTCATCAGGCCACCCCCTCTTCAGGACCCTCTGTGGCTCCCTATTGCCAGAAAATAAGGTCTGAAACTTTAAGAGGCATTCCCAGGCTTCATCTCACACCACTCTCCTCTGCGAACTCTGCACTCTAGTCAGCCTGGTCAGACCCACTCTCCTGCTGCCGTGCCTTTCATCATGCCAGTCCTGTCTCCTGAAACATCCTCCCCAAACTCAGCGATCTCTGTCCTTCAAGGCTACACTCAAAGGCTCTCTCCTCCAAGTAGCCTTTCCTGACTGCCACAGCAGGGCAGGTCTTCCCCTCCCTTATCTTTGACAGTGCTATATCTGTACCTCTCTTCTGGATACTCCCATCATCTTACTGGGTCCCCACATCACATCCCTGCCAGAGAGAGCTGCCCTAGAATGAGATCTAGGTCTTTCTCAGCCTGCACCAGCCCCCACGTAAAACCTGGCACCAAAGCCTCCAAAGGATGAAGAGTGAAAATGTTAAATAATAACTTCCAAAGCTGAATTACCCAAATCCATTCAAATACACTTTGCAGAAATAATCATATTTAATGTGGGATGGAAGTACATTTTAATATTTAATAGTCTGTGGAGTAAAGCCTCTAAAAACAGCGTCCAGGGCTTCAGGTGTCTGATGCCTGCAGGAACAGCCGTCTGATAAACACACGGGGGACTGGACATGGGGCCCTAACTGAAGCCTCCAGGGAACCGGCAGGTCTCTTAGAGATGTGCTGGGCAGTTGTGGGGAGGAGACGGGGAGTACTCACGGGTCACCAGGTCAAAGCACTTTTTCTCCTCAGGGTTTGGCCTCACTTGGCATGTCAGCAGGGTCAGCTTCACTGGGGGCCGGTTTATCTGTGGGAATTTGGGGAGAGAGGACACAGGTGCCCCTCTGGGTCTCCCAAACTCGCAAGCCTCCATTTTCCCAGTCTGTTAAATGGGCATAATTATCCTGTTCCGGTTCATGTCTTCCCTCTTCCAGTGCCTCAGGGATGTGGAGTGTGGGCCAAGATTAGGTTGAGAGCTTTGAGTCCCAGCCTTCCTCCCACAGGGGTCTCCAGGGATCTGGATCCAGGTTTGGGGGCCAGGGCTGGAGGGAGGGTTTGACACTTGTTTGTTCAGAAGTGAAGAGAGGACCTATCGATCGTGCCCCCTCCAGGCCTCACCGTGCTGTGGGAGATGGTCAGGCAGCCATACTTGACTCCACACTTCCTTTTCTGCCAGACTCTTCGAATTCTAGAGCCCAGAGGGATAGAGAGACACTGACCCAAGGCTCACATCTAATTCCCCTGTATCAGAAAACAGAGTTCTGACCAGGTCCCTGGCCCTACCCGTCTGACCTCCAGCCACACCTCTTCATTCCCTGACCCCTCCACCCCTCACTTTCTGGGGCTCCCTTCTGATGGTGGAGACATAGTCTTGCCCTGAGGTACCTCCCAGTCTGATGGGGGAAACAGAGCCCCCACTCTCTGGGAATCCTTACTCTGAAGGGAATCACGTGACCCTGGCCTTCTGAGAGCCACTAGTCTGACAAAAGGGACACAGCTCCGGACTTTAGGGAACTCCCAGACTGAGAGGAGGATCAGGCTCTCGACCACAACAGCTGCATTACGATTAAAGATAAAGCAAGATAAATATTGAGACCCCCCCAAAATAAAATTGGCAAACCCACGATCCAAAGCTACTTAACACTTCTTCAAGAGGTAAATATTAATTAGTATACCAAAATTATTATTCTCTGATAAAAACTGAATAGTCAGGAGAAATAGGAACATCCCATGGAGGCTTTGCATTTCACACACTGATTTTTTTTTTTTTTTACACCAGGGAGCAAGGCACAGTCAACATTTTCATTTCCAGGCATACTGAGTATATTACAAAGGTTCACGGGAAGGGCACGGGGATGGCCTAGGGCATAATAAGTGCTCAGTAACTGCTAGCAGCTGCTTTTATCCTTTTTCAAGTCAGGAACAACCAGTGACTTCTAGGAGAAGTTCACGTGCTTAGGATTCGGAGGATTTTGCATTGCTAGAGTGGAGGGTCCTGGAACCCGCAGAGTCTACATAAATGATGAGAACAGCTCCCCTGATGGCTCCCCCAACTGTCATTTACTGGCCGTGTGGCTTTGGGCAAGTTAGTCAAGCTCTCGGGGTCACTTACCCGTCACTCTTCTTGTAGAGAAAGCCCACCTTCTCCGTCCCAAACTGCTTGTTGCCTTGGTGCTGATGGATGCTGTAGCCCCCGCCGCCGCCTCCCGAGTTCTTCCGGCTCAGAGTCTCCTGTTCTTCCGACATGCAAAGGAGACCTTAGGGCATCTGGGTGGGCAGAGCCTCATTCTGCAGGAGTCTCTTTCAGACACTTCTCAAGGGACCCTTGAAGTGGGTCCCCCTCTCCCTCCCTCCATGGCAGGCCTTGGGAGAAGGCGTTCACTTGGGGATGATTCGGGGGCTGACCTCTCTGCTGTCAAGCTGCAGTGTCCCTCGGAGGGAGTCCCGGAGCCGGATCAGCTTCTGGAGCTCCTCCTCTTGGGCTTGACGGAGCTGTGGAACAGAGGACCCCTCAGTCAGCCAGCGGATGGGTCAGGCGCATGGCCCAGACCGAGACGAGCAGGGGCCAGCTCTCCCCACCCTCAGACTCCCCACGGAAAGACAGGGGCTTGACCAGGTCCCCAAGGCCGAGGCCCAACTTACCGCATGTACAGAGGCTGCCAGCTTCTCGATGAAGGGGGACAGGCTCTGAGCGGCCTTCCAGCCATCTTGGAAAAAGCTAAGAGGTGTGAGGCCCAACAAGGGATGAGAATGATGAGAAAGAGAGAAGCAGGGCGTGTGGGAGAAGGTGCTCCAAGGATCTCGGGGCACCTGGGGCAGTGCTCTCTCTCCGGCGGGAGCCCGCTCTCCAGAGCCCAAGTTGTCTAGGTCTAGATCCCACTTACTAGCTGGGGGATGTTAGTAGACCTGAGGCTTAGTTTCTGAGGAGAAAATGGGTTGCTGGGGATTGAGAGGGAGCCAATGTGTAAGAGAAAGTACTTAGCGCCTGATACACGGTGAACACCCCCTTCAGGGAAGCTGTACAAAGCATCACCAACAAGGCACAGAGTCCTCGAGGGCCTGCCAGACCCTGGGGAGGGGCCTTGTTTTGTGTTGCCTGAAGGGTTAAGGGGCAAGGACCATGGCGTGGGGGATGGGGACAGGGCAGAGACCTACTTGTGCTGGGCGTGGAAGAACTTGATGAGGCTCTGCAGGAAATCGGGACCCTGCTTCAGCTGGCTCTCCCCGGCTCTCAGCAGATACTGGGGAAAGAGCAGGGCCAAGCACGCAGTTGTGAGCAGAAGCGGAATCTTGGGGGCCAGGGGGCTGCCATCCCCATCCCGGGCTCATCTTCCTGGCCATCATTGAACCTTGGTGCCATCCCTCTGGGCCAGAACCTGTGACTGGGCCCCCCTGGGGGTTCAGGAGACGAAGACAGGAAGACGTATCCCACCCCGCCCTCACCCCTGCAGCATCCTTACCTCACACATGTGCAGCTGGAAGACACGCCGCTCTCTCTGAGTGTCCTGGGCCACCTCCCCAGGCGCCCCTCCTGTCACCCGGGCCCGGTCCCTCTCCTTCTCCAGCCTGGCCCTAGGCCCCAAGGAAAGAGAAAACTGAACAACTCTCACTGGGGCCCCTTTCATGTCCTACCACCTCCCCATACTCCTCTCTGCCACGAGCACACGAGAGCGAGGGGGCTTCCCGTGCGTCAGCCATGTGGCAGGGTGGGGGTACAGCGGTGAACGAGGCAGATTTGGGAACCCACGGGCTGGTGGGGGAGAATGACGTGGATCAGATCCCAGCCATCTGAGAGCCACGGAAAACTAAAATGGGGATCTGACCACGGGCCGCTCAGGAAGCGCTGCTCGAGGTGAGAGCTGAGGTCTGTGGAGTTGACAGGAGGAAGCTAGGAGCATCAGACCCTGTGACGGCTGGAGGCAGGAGGCCTCAGGGCTCAGGAGTGGAGGGGGAGAGGTGGTGGTTCCCGGTAAGGGACAGAGGGGCCAGATCACACAGGGCCTGGTTCAGATCATGTCAGGGTTCCCAAAAGCAGTGGGAAGGAATGGAAGGTTTTTATGTAGGAAGTGATAGGCTTAGATGAGGGCCAGGTGAGGTCTGGGGTGACCAGTGTGATTTTGCTGGGAGGGGTTTAGGACCACATGGCTTAAAGGATCACCAAGTGCCTTCATGCTCTGAGCCACGGAACCTCCCAGGTAAAGCTTAGCAAACCCGTGTTTTCTTTGTGAGTGAAGACGGGGCCTCTTGGGCTTGCAGCTGAGAGCAACCTGAGCCTTGCCCCCACAGATTTCAAGGGTTGGCTGTTTTCCCTCTTCAGGGATAGGTGGATCTGTGTGTAAATGATTTCCTGGAAATCCCACACCCAGCAGCCCACCCACTTTCAGCCCGAGAGTGTTTCCACATCTGGGGCTGGGCACCTGTCCCACAGTTCCTCTGTCAAGGAGACGTCTTGCTTATCAGTGGTGATTTCAAGTAGGTGCCAGCCCCAAGCAAAGATGGCTGTGGGATACATGACAAATGTCACTCCCCCCCCACCACCTTGGTCTCCCCATCTGCAAAATGGGGATCCTTCTCTGTACCCAGATGAGACAGAGGACACAGCAGACTTAGCACACAGAAGACCCTACAGCTATTATTATCACAGGTCCCTGTAGGCCTTAGTTTTCCCATCTGTAAAGTGGGGAAGCAATGGCCTAGGCAGAGTTCATTCTGGCTTTAAAGTTCCAGGGCCCACTGAGGTCAGGCCTCTGGGGTAGTGTTTATACTCAGAATCTGTCCCTGGAGACCCAGAGAGCAACTTCTCAACCCTGGAACTACAGATAACTTTGATCAGATGATTCTGATGTGGGGGCTGTTCCGTGGATGTAGGATGTTTGGAACCTCTACCCACAAGGTTCCTGTAGCCTCTCCCAGTTTTGACAGCCAGAGATATCTCCCGGAGGTGATGTGGGGGTGCAGAATCACCCCCGACTGAGAAACCACTGCTCTAGGGTGCAGTTCTGTAGGTTTTCTAGAAAAAATTTCTTGGGAGTGACTCTTTTACATTTCCCTAAGACTTGATGATATCCCAAGAGGGAGTCTATGACAGGGTAGTGGAGTTAGGGTGGGGACTGACCCTATGACCCGGGCCTCCTGGGGGGTCATGACAGATGCTTTTTGGGGGATCTGAATGAGCAGCAGAGAGAGGTGCTGGCTAGGACAGCAGGGTGTCAGCAGTGAGCCTGGCAGCTTGCTAAAGGAGGGTGGGAGACAGAGAAGACAGAGCTGCTGGCAGGGGCAGGGGAATCTCCCACAGACATTGCTACCACATCTTTCAATAGTAAAAAATGAAAACAAGCTAAATGTCTATCAGGAGGAAGTAGTTAAAATTATGCTATGGCCAGCTACGGGAATACTATGCAACTGTTAAAAAAGGATGACGAAGCTCTGTGTGTACTAACATTGAGAGACATCTGCTCCAGAGTACCTGGACAAAAAGGAAGCACCATAAAGTACAGTGGCTAGAAATGCACAGTCTGGGTTTCAACGGCAGATCTCTCACCTAAATTTTATAAAACTTTCTAAGCTTTATTTCCCCCATTTCAAAAACGAGACAAATACTGTTTTGTTCTCAGATGGTATAATGCATGGTGTGGTCCCTGGCCTATGGTAAGTCCTCAATAAGTAGCAGGATTATGATGACGCTAGTGATATTGGCGGTTATGGTAATAACCGCTGGTGATTCCTTTATTTTTTTTTTAATTTTATTTATTCATTTGAGAGAGAGAGCAAGCAAGCACAAGCAGGGGAAGCAGAAGGGGGAGAGGGAGAAGCAGGCTCCCCACTGAGCAGGGAGCCCAACTTGGGGCTCAATCCCAGGACCCTGGGATCACGACCCAAACTGAAGGCAGATGCTCAACCGACTGAGCCACCTGGTGATTCCTTTAGATAATGTGTGTGTGTGTGTGTGTGTTAGCACAGGGTGCTTCCTTATTTATTTATTTAATTCGGGGTGGGGGCTACTGGTGCTAGTGGAGATTAAAGGACAGAAGCTAGGTAGCGCAGGATGAAAACAAGCTGTAAAGTACGCTGCACGGCTTTGTGAATTACCATAGCTCTGTTCCTCCATCTCCGCTAAGGTAACCTACAGAAATTTACACTGCCAAAGCTGATCTGGTCACCTGAGATGACCTGCCAACCTCAAACTGCCAGCTGGGGAGTGCTTTTTATTCTCTCACGCCCTGGCCAGAAGAGAATGCAACTCCAATTCCCTCAATGTCCTCAACGGTTCACCAGTGGTTTCTAAACATTTCAACTGTTGGAAAACTTTTATTTCCTTCGAATGGAGTTGCCTCAAGAGAAGTAAAATGAGTAGGGAGTGAGAAGCAGGGAAATCCTAGTTCCTGAGGACACTGAGAGAAATGGAAAGGGGATTTGCGGGACAGTCTAGTATTCAGACGGGGAGTGAGGGGGGCAGTGAGGAGGATGGCGGGAGTGGAAAGGAATCAAAACGAATCATGTATCTGCCAGCCTGACCCCTTGAACAGCCTCTCCTGTGATACCTCCTCCCCTCCACCCCCACCCAAACCAAACCACCTGTCTTTTCTGCCACCCCAGCGCTCACACCATCCCTGTGTATTTCCGTCACTTACCGACCCACCTCTCTTCTCGCTTACAAACCAGTGGGATCCACAAAGCAGGGACTGTGGTGGTGTTTTTTCCCTTACTTCTTACCTATAAGTTGGGGACAGTAACAGCCCCTTTCCCTGCCAAGGGGAGTCAGTCTGATGATCTAAAGAGCTTATCACAGTTCCTTGGACATAGGAAGCTCTTAACTGAGTACAGGTATCAGCTGCTATTATTACTAATTATTATTTTTAAGCACTAATGCTATGCTGGGTGCTCTGCCAGACCCTTCACACACTAACGTGATAACCCCATGGGGCAGGATTCATTACCCCATTTTACAGTTGAGGAGCCTGAGGCTGAGACGGGTCACAGATTGCTCGGCTGTTGAGTGCCAGAGCTAGGATTTGGCTCCAGGTCTGTCTGACGATAGAGCCTTGGGGACGACACTGGTTACCAACACGGTGCCTCAGAGTTGCTCCATCCCTCCTGTCCTGCCTGGTCTCCTGCCCCCTACCTCCTGCCCCAGCTGGTGACAGGCACAGTATCTTTTTTTCTTTTTTTCCCCAAACGTATTTATTTATTTAATTTTTAAATGTTAATTCCAGCATAGTTAACATATGGTATTATATTAGTTTCAGGTGTATAATATAGCGATTTGACAATTCTATACATTGCTCAGTGCTTATCACGGTACGTGATTGATTTATTTATTTGAGAGAGAGAGCGTGAGGGGGATGAGGCAGAGGGAGAGGGACAGAGGACCTCAAGCCAACTCCTGGCTAAGCACGGAGGCCCATGTGGGGTTCAGTCCCACGACCCTGAGATCATGACCAAGCTGAAACCAAGAGTCGGCCGCTTAACTGACTACACCCCCCAGGCACCCTGTAAGTGTACTTATTTTTTTTTTAAAGATTTTATTTATTTATTTGACAGACAGAGATCACAAGTAGGCAGAGAAGCAGGCAGAGAGAGAGGAGGAAGCAGGCTTCCCACCAGGCAGAGAGCCTGATGTGGGGCTCGATCCCAGGACCCTGGGATCATGACCTGAGCTGAAGGCAGAGGCTTTAACCCACTGAGCCACCCAGGCGCCCCCCTGTAAGTGTACTTAATCCCCAGCACCTATTTCACCACCCGCGCCCCTCCCCCCCACCATGGTGTCTTTTCTGACAGGTCACAGTAAAGGACTGTTTTACACAAGATGAAGCCAAGCCCTGGAGAAGGGACGTGATTATCCCAGATCCCAGTCTGGTCGGGAGGGAATGCTAGGAGCCGAGGGTTTGGCTCCTGCCTCTTGGCCCCTTGCTTGCTATTCTGGTCATGGTTCTGGTCTCGGAAAGATGACCACTGAGTACTTGCTGATATGCAGTGCTAGACGCTTTACAGCCATGTAAAGAACATTACATGTAAATAGAACATTAGATGTTCTACTGCATCTCCACATCAACCCTGCTGGGTATCACCGGCCCTGTGTTTCAGATGAGGAAAGGGACCTGCACATGAAACAACCGAGAAAAACTCGGCCCCTGCTCAGGGCCTGGGATGCCTTTCTTTGCAGCTCCAGGCAGAGCAGAGAACCCACCCTCCTCTGTGACCAACCAGGAAGCGACTCCTGGTGGTATCCGACAGATGCTGTTTGTGGCCTTTCCAGCTGCTGCCCAGACCGGTGTGGGAGGAAGGAGGTGGATATGCACAGAAACCCAGGGCTCGCCAATATCTAGCCATACCTGAAGCCCTCACAGAAAGGAGTGTACACGGACACCTGTGCCGGGATGTGGAGCTCAGCCTGTGTAGCGCCCATGGCAGGGGCCGGGAGGCCACAGAGCATAGGGACTCAGAGAGACCACCAGACTCAGAATCCCTTGGGTCCAGACCGGGCCCCAGTGATACCTCACTGGCGAATCTTCACAGAGCCCCTCTCCCCACCAACAGCAGCGTCTTTTCTCGAAACAACACCTTATAGGCAAGAGCAAGATGGAACTCTGGTAAAAGCAGAACTGCCTGGAGGAGGCTGGGAGGTAGGGGTTATTCTTTCCATTTGGTACATGGTGTCCTGCGAGGCTGCAGGCTTGGTTAAGGAAACTCAGTAAGATGCAGGCCGTGTGGCGACCCCACATCCAAGCCCAAAGACAAAGACTGCCTGCGTGTGCGCTCCCGTCCCTGGGCCTCTCGCGAGAGCAAATGGCCATGCCCGTCACAGCTCCTGTGACCTTCACCCCGGGGTCTACACGCACAGCTGCAGTGTAGACGGGGATACTGCTGGCACAGGATTGGAGGGGGGTGTCCTGGCCTTCCTTTGGCCTCGGGAGATCCCCATGGCCCTGGGGCTGGAGGAACCATAAAGCTCCAGGATCTACTTAGAATGATCCTACACAAGCAATAATTATGGGTAGGAGCCAAGATCTCGTTCCAAGGATGCTTCTCCAAAGGCAGGGAAGACAAAATAACTTACAAATTATGCATATGTTGGCACCCATTTAAGTGATGTCATATAAGAATATGTAACAATGTGGAAAGATGGTCATGATGTATTTTTAAGTAAAAAAAAAGGTATGATTGGGGCGCCTGGGTGGCTCAGTGGGTTAGGGACTCTGCCTTCGGCTCAGGTCATGATCCCAGGGTCCTGGGATCAAGCCCCGCATCGGTCTCTCTGCTCAGCGGGGAGACTGCTTCCTCCTCTCTCTGCCTGCCTTTCTGCCTACTTGCGATCTCTGTCAAATAAATAAATAAAATCTTTAAAAAAAAAAAAAAAAGAAAAATGACCAGAAAGCTGTTACTACTTGAGGCTCGGAAATTAAGAATTTTCCTCTTGGTTTTGGTAGTTTTCCCTATCCCCACATTTTTAAGTGACAAAATGACAGGGTCCGCCCATACTATGTATAAATATACAAACAACAGAGAAGTAGTGTCTAGTCCCCACGTTGCCCTAATCCTCTCTTAAGGATAATTAAAATGTTTTCTTCTTTTGCTTATTATTTTCTAAGTTATTCTCAATGGACACATACTGCTTTCGCAAAGCGCAAGAGAAACAAAATTTTACAAACAGCCCCCAAGTGCTCTGAGGTATGGTGAGCCTGGGTGGGCCCTGGCAGAGTCCTGCAGATAGAGGAGTCTCTCTCAGGGGGAACTGGCTCCTTCTGTCCCCATGATGGCCCTGTAGCTGGTGAGAGGTCCAGTGTCTTGTGTGGTGAACCCAAGAGGCCTGGGTATGACCACAAACTCCCTTCCCTCCTCTATGTCCACCAAAATGTTTCGAGACACCACCTGGTGTTGCAGAAAAAGGACCAAGGAGCATGAATCCCAATCCTACCTCTGCCTAGCTGTGTGGCCTTGGGCAGGTGACTTAACCCTTCTGAGCCTCCAATTCTTCCTCTGACAATCGGGACACTAACCCCTCTTGCACAGGGCTGGGTGCTTGTGAGGATTAAGTGGCTGGTATGTCAGTAAGTGATAGCTTTTTTCCATCCCTCTGCCCACATCTGGCACCAATAAGCAGATGGGCCTCTGAGAGCAGCATCTTGAGGTCCGTTCACAATAGTCTCCCTTTGGTGGTCTCGCAGCCCAGCCCCCAGACTCCCATCAGGCCTGGGCATAAATCGCCCCCTATGAATGCCCCTAGAGAGTGAGAGGCCGTGCACTTGTGGGTGACATGTTCGGGCAGCACGGAAGTTCTCCCCAGTGTCTAGCCTCCTGCTACAACACCAGCATCATTCCCCTGGGAAACCCACCCTCACTGCAGCCACTTACATTTTGGCTTCATAGTCCTTCCACGCCTTCTCCAGCTGCTTTTTGGAATCCTGTGGTTTAGAAAGAATAATGTGCCCAAAGGGGTGCTTGGGGTCGGGAATCCACAGCACACTTTGCTACCTTTAAGGCAACTTTGCGCTTTCATGCTCCCCTATGCTGCTCAGAGCCACAGTCCAACTAACTCCTACCCCCGGAGCCCTTACTGTAAACCTCGCCCCCCCTCACCCAAACAGACCCAACCAGCCCCGTTCTCCGGGTTGAGCCCCTTCACCCACCCGACCTCCTCCCATAGCTGCTAAGAATCAGCTGGGTTTGGTGGGCCCTGGCCTGAGGGGTGGGAAGATTTTGGGGTCTGCCCTAAGTCTTCTCCCTCAGAAGACAGAGATCGCCATGAGGATGAGGATGGAAAGATGAAGGTCAGACTCATCCCCTAACTTTACCCCACTCCTTCCTCCTGCCTGGCACTAGATCATTCTCTCAACAGGAAGGGTACCGATAGAGGGACATATGCACAGAGAGGCTAAGAAGCCTACCAAAGGCCACACAGCGAGCCAGTGACACCTGGCTGATCCTTGGCCTAGTTTGCCTGGGACAGCTCACACCCTCCAGAATTGCCCCATTCAGCCCAGGAGGGGGTAGGAAGCTGCCTGGCTGGTTTGGGTGGTTCCCAGGTTGGTGACTGGCCTTAGGCAGGAGGGAAGCCTCTGGGGGGAGGACAGCGTCTCCCCTGAGCCTTCTGGGACAGATTTCTCAGGCAGATTATTCTGTCACTTTCTTTGAGTTCTGCTCTGCCTGGAGCGGGGAGCTGCCAGGGCAGGGATGAGCCAAGCATGAGAGTCAAGAGCCCCAGAGCCCACCCTGGCTCTTCCGCCAGCTGTATGAACTGTAAGCAGGTTACCAAACTCCCCCAGCCTTGGGTTTTCTCACCTGCAGAGCAGGGACGACAATGCCTACAGAGCCCACCTTGTGCGGCTGCTGTAAGAGTAGCCTGAGCTATCTCACATAAGGGCCCAGGCACACAGTAGGTCAGCCATCCTCAGCTGACCCCAGAGCTACGTCTTCCTGTCCTTCCAAGGGTCCCTAATATGGGGTCAGCAGTCCCACAGTGACAGTCTCATTTGACCTACGGCTTCAGCCCAGCCCTGCCTCTCCTCTGGTCTCCTGCCCACCGCTTTCTCCCTCCATCCCACCACCTTTGGGCACCCCTGCACCCCAAATGGGAACTCACCTGTCGCCCGTCCCTCAGTTGCCCCTTCAATAGACTGTCCAGGGGGAATGAGACGATGTTGTTCAGGTTTTGAACCTAGAAAGAGCAGAGACCCCCCCCAGACCCCACCCTGGGTGACCATCTTTCCAGCCCCAAGAGGCTAGGGCACAGCACTGGGAGGCAAAGGAGGGCACTGGGGGTAGAGGAGGTTGGGGAGAGAGAGGTGAGGGAGGAGGGTAGTGGAGTGGCAGAGTGGGTCTCCCATAAGAGCTGTTACCGCCAACCCTGACTAACTGGCCTCATCACCTCCCAGCTCTGGGAACATCCACGGTCAGTCCCATCTCTGGCCCTTTGCCTCCAGCATCCTCACCTGACCCCTCACACCCTGACTCTGAAGTGCCCATCTGTCATTTGTATGTGGTTAGCTCCTCGTCTCCCCCATCATGTGGGGAACCCTTCCCCTGTGGTCACATGGGGTAAACACGGAGCAGAGCTCATCAGGGTACCCCATCCCTGGGCCGTAGTGACTATATCAGGAACATGACTCAAGCCAGCCAATCAGGGTCCTTCCTGCAACTTTCTGCCAAAGTCATGGGAGAGAGACTGTCTTTCTCCTGACAGTATGGTGAATCTGGGTCTGCTGGACCACCTTACCTACTGAGCAGATGCAGAAACTATCTAAGAGAAAGAGAAGAGGCCTAAAGCCGGTTGCATACATGGATTTCCCATTACAAGGGCCAATGAACTTCAGGTTTAAAAAATCCTAGTTTGGGGGCGCCTGGGTGGCTCAGTGGGTTAAAGCCTCTGCCTTCGGCTCAGGTCATGATCCCAGGGTCCAGGGATCGAGCCCCGCATCAGTGCGGTGGGGGGGTGTCTCTGCTCAGCAGGGAGCCTGCTTTCCTTCTCTCTCTGCCTGTTTCTTTGCCTACTTGTGATCTCTGTCTGTCAAATAAATAAATAAAATCTCTTAAAAAAATAAAAAATTCTAGTTTGAAAAAAAAAATCCTATTTTGAATAGAATCTCTATCATCTGGCAGCCCCAACTGCCTATCTGATATTTCAGCTTACCTTTTAAGGTACAGCTTGGGTCTCCCCTACTCCAGGAAGCCTTCCTGACTGCCCCTACTCATGGCCTATGCTGACCTTCCCTTTTCAATTTTTTTTTTTAAGATTTTATTTACTTGTTTGAGAGAGAGAGAGAGAGTGCACGCGCACACAAGTGGGGGGAGAGGCAGAGGAAGAAGCAGACTCCCCCCGAGCGTGGAGCCTGACTTGGAGCTAGAGATATAATAGATATTATAAAGATATAATAATGACAGACGCAAGAGTAACAAACCCTTACTGAGTGCTTACTCGGGGCTGGGCACTTAGCTAGCGTGAGCCTCATCACAGCTCTGCAAGGTGGGTACGTGACAGACATGGAGGGAGAGAGGGAGAGAGAACATGTGGGAGGAAAGTCAGACAAGAAGAAGAATGCAAATGGGAGGTCAGAACTGGAAAGGGAATTGGGTCATTGGTCAAGGTCAAGGGAGACTGGAGGTCCAGGGCAACCCTGGACAGAAAGGTTCATAAGCTCACTTGATTCATCCCAAGCCTAGGCTAAGGGTGGCTGAGAAAGGAACAGGGCCTCACCAGGTTCTTGAAAAGTGCAGCCACCTCACGGGTGAACACGGCCAAGTTCAGGAAGCCAGTGGACAGCTCGTGACTGTTTTGGGACAAGTGGCTGTTGCCTAAGGACTCTACAGCCTCTCGGTACTGCTCCTCATTCTCCACATGGCCTGTGGAGGTAGGGAAAGGCAGAGTCAGTTCCATGCTGGCGCTAGGGTAGGGGCTGCTTGGCCAGCCTGGGCATCAGGCAGGCTCACTCACCAAGGCCGGAGCTGTGGATCGCCCTCACAGCCTTCTTTATTCTCTGCAAGATGGCCTGGTCTCCTTCCAGCATCTGGAAGCAAATGCAGACAGAGTTCAGGGATGCTCAGCTGGGAGGGGTGCCTGACTCCAGGATCCCACCCTCCAAACACACATATAAAGTTTCTTCCCTCGGGCCCCCCAGCCCCCCTCCAAACAGGAACAGACCACCCTCTTCCACCCAGACCACACAGGACACCAGAGATCCATCACAGCACTCCAGGAATACCTACAGACTTTTCTCCCCAACTCCAACGCAAGCCAAGTAAATGGAGCGATTCCAAGGCACGTGGCGTAGTGGGGGAACGCCAGTCCTGGGTTTGAATCCTGGCTCTGGCACTACCTAGAGTATCGATCTAGACAGAACTGCTAACTTCTCTGAGCCTTGGGGGCTTTGTCTGCAAAATGAAGACGATACTACAGGCTCCCGGAGGTGCTGAGAGAATTAATGATTTGACAAATGTATCCAAAAATGCTTAGCAAAAGACCAGAGGAGAGAACGCAGACACATCTCTGTATTCTCGAAGGCACAGACAGAAGAATGCTTGTTCCTTGAATCCCGGGCTCAGTAAGCAGAAGGGGCCACAGTATACCCCGACTGGAAAGAACTGGTGGGACAGCACCAGGCAACCTCTGTGGGCTGCAGAACAGACAGCAGACGGGGAAGGCCAGGAGATGTGACGGGGAGAGCAGGCCTCACAGGCCCTAGGGGGGCAGGCTCAGCCAGAGATCCAAACCTCCTCCTTCAGTGGGGTGCAGATGCTCCAACCTCATGGACCCCTGATGAAATGCTGCTGAAGCTGGAAATTATAGAACATCAGGGCTGAGAAAGGCTGACAGAACCACCCCTGAGGAGACTGAGGCCTGGAGAGGGCAGGGCCTGGCCCAGAGCCAAAGAGTGGGGCAGCCTGGGAGCTGGGCTCCGGTCCCTGCTCTAGCTCGGTGCTCCACCCACACACCCATTCCCCCCACCCCCACCACAGCCCCACCTATTTTGTCTGGTGACTGAAAAAGGGATCAGAGTTTATCTCCAAAGAGCTACCTTCAACGTGACAAGAGTTAGCAAACACGTTGGGAATGGTTTCTCCAAAGATTGCGCACAGGAGGGCACGCACCGGGCAGAGCTCGGGGGCAATGTGGAATGTTCTCCAAAGCCTTGGGCATGGGGGAAGCCTCGGGAGGGAGAGGGGTCTGGTTTCGAAGCTCTGCTCTAGTGCCCAGATGCTGTGTGACCTCTAGCAAGTTGCTTCCTGATTAACTATCTTTACAATGGGGGGAAATCATGCCTCCCTCTCAGGGTTATGAGATTGTATGCATGAGATGATGCACAGAGAGGGCCTAGCTTGGTGCTGAGTGTGGCCTCAAAGAACAGCACTTATAGTCATTATCAGTACCTGCGGCTAGAAGGGTCCCCCAAACTCTGAGTACGTTTCCTACAGGGACTAGAAAGCTAACATTCTCCTCCCTGAGTATAAATTTCATGATTGGGACATGTGGCTTTGGGACAGTGGAGGCCCATCCCAGGGCTGAAGGAAAAAAAGTCAAGGAATTAGGGAGATGGGGGAACAGGAGGCCGTATCTGAACCAGCTAACAAACTCAGACACTACCAGAGAAACAAAGACATGAGGGGAGAACTAGGACATCACGATAATTCCCAAAGACCCAGAGGGGGACACACGCATTCGCCAAAGCCCTCGATCCCCACCTTGAGACTTGACAGGGAAAGTGAAGACAGGATTAATTTAAGGAGCTCTGACTTTACTCCAATAGTGCGGACCACAGATATGAATGAATTGCAAAGAGACTTAAAAACTCCTGGAAAGGGGGCGCCTGGGTAGCTGGGTCGGTTAAGCCTCTGACTCTTGATTTCGGCTCAGGTTATGCACGATGTCAGGGTCCTGGGATTGAGCCCTGCGTTGGGCTCCACATTCAGCAAGGAGTCTGCCTCTCTCTCTCCCTCTGTCACTCCCCTGCCCTCATGAACGCTCTCTCTCAAATAAATACACAAAAATAAAATCTTTAAAAAAGGAGAAAGCTCCCTAAAAGGCAGATCCATGTGCCTAGCACACAGAAAATACCCACTAGTTGTTTACCTAAATGAACATTTTGCAAAGTCCCGGGACATGGACCTGAGGAGTCTGTGTTCCTGCTGTAGATACTTTCAGGGGAATCTCCCCACCCCACGATACTGTTCTCGGAAAACTGCCCTCCTCCCCTCTAGAGGTGGGTCCTTTATTACCTTGTTTGTTTGTTGTAGCCAGAGTAGACCGGACCAGGGTGACACCTGATCCAGGCCGGCCCAAACAGCTTCTCTCTCCAAGGAACTTGGAATGGGGCTCTGGGAAGTTGGCTAATTGATCTGAAGTACTCAAGCTGGGACATCTTTCCCACCATGGGCAAAGACAAAAGAACAAAGCAGATGTATACAAAGAAGCAAATGAGACCCATGGTGCCCCCAGAAAACCAGAAGAAAAAGGTTGCTCTGGTTTCTGGCAAATCTCCAGATCCTGCACCCCGAGAGGCTCCTCCACACTTCCTGTCCTTGGGTCTTCATGTAATATCCTTGAATGCACTCAACAAATTCCCCTTCATGCTTAAGCTGCTTTGAGACCATCTCCCTTCCCTGCAGCATGGCAGAGCCTGCTAGTTGGCTCTCGGTGTCCATTCTCTCTTCTTCCTTAGCAGTTAAGAATGCTGACTTTTGGGGCACCTGGGTGGCTCAGTGGGTTAAGCCTCTGTCTTCGGCTCAGGTCATGATCTCAGGGTCCTGGGATCGAGCCCCTGGGATGCTCAGCGGGGGGCCTGCTTCCCCACCCCCGCCTGCCTCTGCCTACTTGTGATCTCTCTGTCAAATAAATAACATCTTTAAAAAAAAAAAATAATAATGCTGACTTTTCAGATGGCAACTCGGTCACCCCAATACAGGCTACACTTCCCAGCTTACCTTGCAGCTGAATGTAGTCATAGGACTACGTGCTGACCTATGTCATATAATGGATATTTTACTTGTTAGCTTCCAGAAGTATTCTTAAAAGGAAGGGAGGGACTACCCACCTATTAAAATGGCCCAAATCCAAAACACTGACAACACCAAATGCTGATGAGGCTGTGGAGCAACAAGCACTCTCAGACACTGCTGGTGGGAAAGGAAAACGGTACGGGCGCTTTGCTAGACAGTTTGGCAGCTTGTTACAAAACTATACATACTCTTACCATCTGATCCAGCAACTGCACTCCTCGGTATCTACCCAAATGAACTGACAACCTGTTCCCACGTAAAAACATGCCCATGGATGTTTATAGCAACTTTATTCCTAACTGCTAAAACTTGGAAGACAAGGGAATATTACTAAGCACTAAAAAGAAGTGAGCTATCGAGTCACAAAATACATGAAGGAACCTTAAGTATGTATTTCTGGGGAGGGGGGCACCTGGCTGGCTCAGTCAGCAGAGCATGTGACTCCTGATCTTGGGGTTGTGGGTCTGAGCCCCACTTTGGGTGGAGAGGTTACTTAAAAATAAAATCTTTCACAAAATGTGGATATTACTGTGTGAAAGAAACCCAGCTGAAAAGGTGGCATAGTGTCTGATTCCAATTCAGACATTCTGGAATAGGCTAAAGAATGGACATGATAAAAAGATCAGGGGTCACCAGCGGAGGGCGGGATAAACAGGTGGTGCACAGAGGGTTTATAGAGACATCACACTATCCTGCCCAATGCCAAGAGTGGACACATGTCACTAGGCCCTGGTCAAAACTCAAAGAACATACACCACCAAGAGTGAACCTAACTTAACTATGGATCTGGGGTGACAATGATGTGTCCGTGTTGGTTCGCAGATTCTAACAAAGGTGCCACTCTGGTGTGGGCCAGTGACAGTGAGGGAGGTTGTCTGTGGAGTAGGAGATATATGAGAACTCTGTACTTCCTTTCCTTTTTTTTTTTTAAAGATTTTATTTATTTATTTGTCAGAGAGAGAGCACAAGCAGAGGGAGAAGCAGGCAGAGGGAGAAGCAGGATTCCTGCTGAGCAGGGAGCCTGACGTGGGACTCAAACCCGGGACCCCACGATTGTGACCTGAGCTGAAGGCAGACGCTCAACCAACTGAGCCACAGAGGCATCCCTAAAAGTGCTCTAAAAAAATAAAGTTTTATTTATTTATTTATTTATTTATTTATTTATTTATTTCTGAAAAAAGGGGAGGAGTGTCTGGGTGGCTCAGTCTTTTAAGTATCCGACTCTTGATTTCTGCTCAGGTCATGATCTCAGGGTCCTGAGATCAAGTCCCATGTCAGGTTCCACGCTGACCATGGAGCCTGCTTGAGATTCTCTCTCTCCCCCTCCCTCTGCCCCTCCATTCCACCAGCACTCTCTCTCTTTAAAAAAAAAGAAAGGAAGGAAGGAAGGAAGGAAGAAGGAAAAGGAAGAAAGGGAGGGGTAACCCTCTGTCATACTGTTCTCCTGGTGAGAAAGCATGTGTAATGTCTAGAGCTCAGGCAGCCATCCTGGACCGTAAGGCAGAAGCCATGTGCTGCAGATGGTGGAAGACAAAGTAGTGGCCTTGTCCCCGGTAACTGGGGAGCCACCCCATCATCCTGGACCACTTACCTGCAGACTTCTTTCATACGGAAGAGAAATACATGTCTGTCTTCTATGAGCCACGTTATGCTGGGTATACTGTTACTTGGGACTGAAGCTAGGAGCTCTAGCTCGTCCAGGCAGGCAAGTCACCTAAAGACCAACAAACTGGGGCACATGGGTGGCTCAAGCTATTAGGCGTCTGCCTTCAGCTTGGGTCATGATCTCAGGGTCCTGGGATCGAGCCCCACGTCCAGGGAGCCTGCTTCTCCCTCTCCCACTCCGTCTGCTGTGTTCCCTCTCTCACTGTATCTCTCGCTGTCAAATAAATAAATAAACATAATCTTTAAGGGGAAAAAAAAAAGACCAACAAACTATCACTCGATGCCCTTGTCAGACATATATCAGGAAATGGCTTCCTGGCAAGATACCATTCGTGCTCCTACCAAAGTT